CCCCCGGGGAGGGGGGGGGGGGCTAACTGGTGGAAGTGCTCTTAGGGGGGGTGTATTCAATTTAGATTTTAAAAGATTTTAAAGAAGTTTAAAAATTTAAGTGTATTCAATCACGATTTTATAGAAGTCTATTCAATGTAGAATTTTTAAACTCCATTTCAAATTTAGATGTATTCACTCGCAATTTTAAAAGACTTCATTAAAGTTTTGGTGTATTCAAAAACTCATTGATTTTAAAGAAATACAAAAAGTGGTGGATTTTGTTTGATATTAGACTAATTTTAGGCCATGACAAATCTTTGCTTCCCTCCAAAGATTTTGATAGATATATTATTTTTATTCTCAAGATATGATTTCACCACTTCTATTACCACCATCTTATCATGACTATCATCATTGACGTCGTCGCCGCCACTACTACGACAGTCATCGTCATCGCCACCGTCACCACCACCACAACCATCGCCGCCACCCCCCAACACCACCACCACCATCACCCACATTGTCACCACCATGGCCACCACCCTTACCCCCATCTCCACCTCCACTACCACCCCCATTAGTAGCCCCACTGTCACCACCACTACAGCCACTACCATATCAACACCATCACTGCCACCGCCACCACCATCACCATCACTACCACCCCCACCTCCTCCACAAACCATCATTGTCATTGCCATCACCATCACCATCACCACCATCTCTATAAACTCCATTAAAATCAATAATAAAATTCTAACAAACTCAGTTAAAATCTATATACGAATCCAATCAATTAAATATGGATTTCAATCAAACTCAATTAAATTCAATTAAACTCCATCAACTTTATAACTCTTCTAAAATTTAAATTCTAAATTGAATACACTCTCCTTAAATATGGATTGGATACATCCCTGCTAATTCAAACGTAGAATCTGTAAGTCACTTAAAATATACGACAAAAGTATTTCAAAATCCTGTCAAATCGTAATTAACTATACCCCTAATACTTAGGGTTAGAAAAATCGGGGGAGAGGTAGTTTAATAGGTCTTGGCGGGTGCTAACTAATTAAGGCACTCAAAACATTTCTCTCCTTCGGCTAATCAAACAGAGTTGGCAGCAGCCAGCGCTCAGCAGCTGAGAGAGTTCCATAATTTCAACCTACAACTCTGGTTTAGCGAATGCATTTTCAAACCCAAAAGAAGTTTTAGCAGTGAGAATCGATGGGCTACAGCACAGAATCAAAATGGTTTACAGCCACCATAACCTTTGCGCTCGCAGCTCTCTCCGCCTCCACTGCCTTTTCTTGTATGTATACAAATTTTGTTTTCTCCTTTTGTGTTGCATTGGGTTCTTGTAGTTTATTGTTCTTTTGGTCTGTAACAGTGTATTTTTGGAAAAGAAAATCGAGGGATTTGGATTCCAAGATTGGAGAGCTCGAGAAATCTCTCAAGGCCTCCTTAGACAATTGTGCTGCTGAAAGGCAAGGCCGAATTCGGGCTCAGCAGGTACCCTTTTCTTCCCACCTCCTCCCCCACCAAAAAAAAAAAACCAAAAGATACTGACCCTTTTGCCTCTTTAACAAGCTGACTGTTAGTAATGGCCTTATTTTGCCTCTTTGAAGAAGAAAAAAAAGAATCTTACTTGAAAATAATTATCTTTGCACTTTCTCAGAGATCTAACTGAGAGTAGAGAGCAGTGTTTCTGTATTTAATTGAATTGGTTTATTGAATATATACCTATGTAACTGGAAATTTGATTGCTTGGTATCCAAGTCCCCTAATTATTTGTCTATGTTCATTTCGTAAATGCTTAGGCATTGCCTAGATCATAATTGTGTTCATTTCATATTATATGAGGATCTCAGTGTCAATGAGCTGAAAGTATATTGATTCTTATCATTGGCCCTTCATATGTCATCACACATTTCTATTCTACTTGCTAAGATCTTTTCATTTTGTATTGGAGGCTTTGAGGAAAGCACTAACGCAACCTAAGTTGGAAAATGTGGAGCTGACATCTTACCCCATGGCACCTATTGGTGTCATCCAGTCATGCTTCTCTACCAGGTATTTGGGTGGGCGTCGTTTGGTATTCCAAACTAGAGATCTTTGTTTCTCATTCCTTGACTGAATTTTTATGTCACACATTTATCAAAATGATAAGTAAATAATTTATTGCACCTAGAGTAATTAGGTGAGTGAGGAATAGCCAGATCGGATCACTAGAAGTGTTTACTCTTCATGAATTTGTTGAATAAATCTGATGATACTCAAGGACTTAAAATATAAAGATCAGACAGACAGACTGGATAAAGATATCCAAAGAATATTACTTTCCAAATCGAGAAATGAGTTAATTGGAATCATTTTTATTTTCTTTTGAGTTTTGTAAAATTTTTGCAAATGCTCTGCCATTCATGCTTTTGTACATGTTTGTATGTGTAGCAAAATCAAATTATGGTGAAAACTGTCAATAGTGCTTAGAAAAGTTAGATTGTCTTCCCATAATTTTTTTTTAAACATTCATATTGATAGCCAATAGTCTTTGGGTTTAGTGGCACCTTTCTCCCTCTAGAAAATAAGGGTTGAGGTTAAGTTCAGGGGTTCAATCCCCAGTGGGTATGTGGGATGTATTCCTGTCATTTGCCAAAGAAAAAGGAATCATATAGATAAATTAAATATTGAAGCTTAGTTTTATCATAGAGTTAGAGTGATATGCCGCACTTCTATACCCAAACATGCAGTTTATATTGGTGCCTGAATAGCATACTAGGCAACCTTTATTTTGCAGTTGCACCTCATGCTTGTGCATGCTTAGTTTTGCAGGGTTTTAGTTCTCCTGAGCTTACCAGTGTCATCTACAATTCCCTGAGATTTGTTTCTTCCTTTGTTAACATAAAAGGAATTCAAAAAGTGCATGTTTGATCTCGCCAAGACAAAATTTGCATATTTGTTGTGCATGCAAATTTGTTTCTTTGAAGTCCCATTGATGACTTTCACTTCTTAATTGTGCAGGAATGGGACGCCCAGGCAACCTGTACTTGTGCCTCTCTCGAGGGCCTGTTTGATCTTTAATACAGCTCGTGTTCCTCCAGCATCACTTGAGGGTCTTGGAGAATATTCTCACTGCTGGGTTATATATGTTTTCCATCAAAATACAAATCTAGAGAAACTTTGGAAAGATCCAACTAAGTCAAAGTTCAAGGCCAAGGTGTGTGCCTCTGAATACTGGTATACTGCTTTCTGTGATTTCAGTTATTAATTATTCTTTTTAACTCTATATAAAGGTTGACTGGATGGATAGGTAAGAGTGCCAACACTAAACGGTGAAAGGAAGGGACTCTTTGCAACAAGATCTCCACACAGGCCATCCCCCATTGGACTCAGTGTTGCCAAGGTAAGGTTAAACTGCTGCTGAATATATGCATCTTTTATAGTAGCTTGAAAGAAGATTTATCTACATTCTGCATTAGACTAATCTCAGGTACTTTTTTCGAGAACTATCAGAGCTTACTAATCTCATGCAATCCAAGCCCGTCTAGTAGTTTCTTTCTCTCCACCCATCAGAACGTTGGTTTCCAGTTTGAAACCTCCGGTCCCCATTCCCCACTTCTTGTGGGTTTGCAATGTGCAGAGTAGGATTTCACCTATATGTTTCTCTCTCTCCCTCTATAACGGGGTAAGCTTGATATACATTGTGCACTCATTCCCTAATAGCTTAAGCTTATGGGTCTACTAGTTCTCCGACATCTTCGAGTAGGCTATCCACGTGTTAGGTCATGTTAGGCCCAACGACCGCACGGTCTCCCACGTCACCCTTTTTAAGTTGTCCATGTGTTTGACTCATGTCATGCCACATGTGAGGGGGTGTGTTGAGAGATATCCCACATGAGGAATGTAAAACTTTGCATTATGATATATGTCTTGTGTTGTGCCTCTCCACCCATTTCCAATTAGTTTTGGGTGGGGATGCTCTGTTTCTAACAAACTATATATAGTTTGTTCCAGTCTGATTTACAGTCTCAAACAATTTGACTTCCAATAAAAGATGGATTCAGAAAGTCCAATTTACACTGGCAGGTTATACAGCTTTTGAAGGGAGCATGTGCTTCCGGCCCTCTTAATCTGCCTTAACTAATTTACTCAGGCAGGCTATATGTTTCTGCATGTATTGTTTCCAGAATTTCATATATTTTATTCTTTGGTCAAAATGCTTTTTTGTCCCTAAGAGATAGTTTCCGGAACCAGTCATGGTGATTTGAACTATGGTGAGGAAATAGTTATGAGGTAGGCCATTTAGTGGCAACGACAGCATTTGACTGGAAGCTAATGGTGGCATGGTGCTTAATGTGAAGAAAACGTATATTGACCATGACTCTCTCTCTCTCAATAGTACGATAGGATGACAAAGAAAATTAGTTAGGGTGGTTACATGACATGTGCGGCATAGTCGATAAAATACCTCAGTGGCAAACACGCAATTACTGAAGGACAAAATTGACCAAGGAAGGAATTGGAACCTGACCATCTTCAAGGACTAAAAGCTTATTTAACCTTATTCTTAACTCTCTAAGTTCCTTTGTATCTATGACACTTAGAGGAGTAGTGTAAAGTATGACGCATATAATTTAACATTGATCATTCATATGATATTAACATGGTTATACTTTTTGTCATCAATTATCATAACCGTTCTTAATTATTTCTCACACTAAACAAATTTAGTACCATTTGATATGAGTTCCTATCATAAATTAAATTTTGACGTCACATAAAAAAAGAATGAAAATATGCTTATGGAAGAGGGAAAGTATTGAATCTTATAAGATGACAAAGAAAATTAGTTAGGGTGGTTACATGGCATGTGCGGCATAGTCAATAAAATACCTCAGTGGCAAGCACGCAATTACTGAAGGACAAAATTGACCAAGGAAGGAATTGGAACCTGACCAGCTTCAAGGACTAAAAGTTTATTTAACCTTATTCTTAACTCTCTAAGTTCCTTTGTATCTATGACACTTAGAGAAGCAGTGTAAAGTATGACGCCTATAATTTAACGTTGATCATTCATATGATATTAACACGGTTATACTTTTTGTCATCAATTATCATAACCATTCTTAATTATTTCTCATCACTAAATAAATTTAGTACCATTTGATATGAGTTCCTATCATAAATTAAATTTTTACGTCACATAAAAAAGAATGAAAATATGCTTATGGAAGAGGGAAAGTATTGAATCTTATAAATTTACACTGTATACTTTAGGTGGAGGCTGTACAAGGGCATATGCTTCTACTCTCTGGTGTGGATTTGGTTGATGGGACAGTAAGTTTTACATTTTTCCTCTCTGCTGGCCATATCCATTTTCTTTGGTTCTGATTTTTTTAATTTAGAAATCAAACTTATTTGGTTTACTTTTACCAACAGCCTGTACTCGATGTCAAACCTTATATTCCCTACTGCGACAGCATTCAAGGAGCAAGAGTGCCAAAGTGGTTAGCGGTATTATTTCCATGTCTCTCATGACATTGTAAATTTTATAGTTTCATGACATACGAGATTTACCATTTGCATGATTAGAGAACTATCTTCCATTATGGTCATGAGTATTTTCAGCTATTAATCTTGGAGGTTGAACACGTAGTGTGTTGGTAAAAGATGTTCATACACTATAGTGCATATGTGCTGAATAAAGACTCCACTTCAGTGGAGACTAGATTTGCAGCATGGATTCGTGTCGTGGTTTAACTGTTCATTGAAAATAGATAACCAAAACCTTCAAATATCTATTTAGGGAGAACTATACATTTACAGTCGTTGTAGATATTTCAGTTTTCCTATATAATTGCCTATTTCGAAGATTGTGAAATATTGGTGTACAACTGTGTATTGTGATTTTAAACTAAACATACCTACCTCTGAGGCATCTTCCTATGCCAATTTAACTTGTCTGTACTCTTCTGGTAACTTATGTCATCAATTCCCTCCTTGTTTTAAGTTAATAATCCATGTATTCTGCAGGCGGACAGTATATTAGCAGTAGCTTCTGTTAGTTTCTCTGAGGTGTTCACTTCCACACTTGCTGATTGCTGGGAAATGGCAGTGAGTACTCTAATCTTTACTAAAAATATCACACCTTTACCATATTTTAAAGGGAATGTCCATTCCTTTGTATTCTTTGACTAATTGTTCAGTTCCTTTTACAAATTGCGCCAATAGCTTGCTTACTAGCACTTCACTAGTAAAATCCAAACTCTTCACAACACTGGAAAGAGATAAAAACAAGCCTAAGAAAGGGACTCAGCTACAGTGTGAATGGTACAAATACAATGAATTAAGCCCCTAAGTACTTGTCAAGAGGAAAATAAAAGGCCAAGGGAAAAGAAAAGAGAGCAGGAATCAACAGGATGTAATTGAACACCTGAAGATAATCCAAGAAAATTAAGAAAGAGAAACCTGAATGTCAAATTTCAACCCTGAATAATTTGGAGATCTAGGAGAGAAACTGACTACTGCTGATGTCAAATATGTGCCCCATCATTGGATTGGTTGTGTTGCTGTAAATTGGTCTACCTTGTGTGCAATTTCACGACAACTATACGTGTTTATCTTTCCTATCAAAAGAACTATAAAGTTCTCTCTTCATTTTTATTATTGGTAGAACTCGAGGTCTAGGCATTGAATCTAGTGGAGGATAAGACCACAATAATCAAACTCTAGAAGATCCAACAACTCATCATCCTGTGAGATCCTCATCCTACCTGGGGATAATCAATAAGACTGCTATATTTTGTCTTCCATCAATCTAGGTTCTTAACTTGCATTTTTTCAAAATCCCTGTGGGAGTTCTTAGCAGATCATGCATATCTGGGTCAGTAGATGTCCACTTCCTTTTTTCACTCCCTGCACGGTTGTGAAAGGTTTGTCAACTCAAGATTTAATGATTGTTAATCTTGTCTATTGTAATTTTACAAATTTGATAGATTGGTTGCGTTATCCTTAGTCATCTTATTCTTCGTCTGGGAGGATCTCTATTAAACACATACTTTTGTTGAATGCGGAGTGTGTATAACTAAAAGTTCATTGATAGTATAAGGTTTATTGTTGCTTATGAAGAGAAAATAACTTGCCCGGGAAGAGGGGGAAAGGAAAGAGAGCATGCTGTTTTCTACTCTAAATAATTAGCCATGAAAATCTTCTGTTTAGAAATGTTATTCCTTTGTCTTCAAAACAGTTCAAAAATTAACCCCATTAACTGGGACAAGAGTAGAAAGGGGAGTTGTGCCGGTCCTTACAAAGGCTTTCCAGAATCTCGGAACTATGAAGCACCAATTCCTATGCTTAGCTTTCATTCTATCTGTATTTGGTTTGTTGCAGGGAAATAATTCACTCTATGCTTCACCAGACAAGTTCCAAAACTTGATAAAGCAGGTGCTTTCATGGGATATTAGATCATTGGCTCAACGAAATCGACCTCATGATTCCTTCATTAACTCAGAAAATGGTAAACAGTTGAATGATAGTTCAGACAATGACCACGATGAAGAAGCTTCGAGCCCTGGAAATGAGCAGCCCCCAAGTTCTTCTGGGGACATAATGTATCACCTAACCCTAGAAGGATTGGAAGTTTCGTACAGACTCAATTCTGACTTCAGTGTGGTTGTAGAGAAAGTAAAAGAAGTATCAAACATCACAAACAGTCGTCAAAAGCGATGTAATTACTCTATGTGGAGGGTCTGATTTGTGTTCTTTGAGACCTGTTATTGTTGTTTCAAAATTTTGGATTGTTTGTATTGTTCAAATTCCAATTCTTTTTTTCTTTTTCTTTTTTTTGGGACAACCTAATAGGCTGACTCCTATATCATTTTGTAGTGGAGATAAATAGAACAAGGATTTGAAACTCGGTTTAAGTTACATTGCTGGCCATAGACCTCTTTCATGGAAACTTCAATTATCATATTCCTAGTGCCTGGTGGGGATATGCATTTTGTGGTCTTGAAAGAAATTCAGTAAAGGCAAGAATGGCACTATTGTTGTGGACGTTGTGGCCACCACCATGAGTGTTGATTTGGGTCTTTATTCTTTTGCTTTTGAAGGTAAAAGACAAATGGGAAAAATCAACATCTTTATTTTGACCAATGAATTTGAAGAGGAGCCAAGCCTATGTCGATAAGGCTAACAAAAAGTTAGAAATTAAAAAATGCATATAAAATGATAAATTGAGAACGAGTACTACATTCTAATTTACCTACCCATTTAATAGTTCATTTAATTACAAATTTACCATTTGCAAAGTTGGTTAAGGGACAACATCTAAAAGAAAACATATTATATGCAGTTTTCTAGAATGAGAGCATCCGTCGTCCCTTAAATTATACCCTTTTGCAAGACGTGCGCTAGAATGAGAGCATCCGTTGTCAAAAGTCATTCACCTTCATAGACGTGTGCAACACATGTTTAATTCCTCTTTTTCTAGAGGGAAGACCAAGTGTTAGCCTACTTTACGTGAGAAGAGACCAACATTGTTACATTGCACGAACTTTTTACGACATGTTTACTCGTCATGATTATGTGAGAAATAATAAATTGGAGAATTTAGGAATGAGGAAGTAAGGAATTGACATAAGAAGAAATCATTTATTTACTAACCATATGGAATTAGCATAGAAATAGAAATTATAGAGTTGTAAGGTTATTTTTAGACTTCTTTAGGCTTGCGTGCCCAAGAGGTTTTGCTTTGTAATTTTATTTTTAGAATTAAAAAAAAAAGGTTATTTTTAGAGGGTCTCAAGGGAGAATATGAATGGGCATTGGATTATTACCCCTCTTTAGTTGATATGATTCATGATTTCGAGGGTATGGGATTACGAATTTGAAGATGGCACTTATATAGTTTTTTCATTCATTATGTGTTAGTAAACATGGGGTAGTCAAAAATTAGAATCATTCCCTGTCTTTTCATACTCATTATTGGTAAGTAAACATATCATTATTGTTAAGATTTCACAAAAGACGAATTATGAGTACTACTACTAACATGTGTTAAATTGTGATTTATTTACAATGAGGAAATGCTAGTATATTCAATCATAATGAGGAGAAAAACTCTCATGCACCGCGAATAACAATTTTTGTTATCCTAAGTAAATAACGCAACGACATATGAGCTAACATTTTCACATATCATTGTGTTATTGACCGAAACAGTAAAACAGTGCTATCCCTTTACAAATAAAGTTATTTTTGCATAATGAGGTTGGTTGGACGGGACAGTTTATGGTTGGTAGTGTAGGCAGGGAAAAAGGAATCTACTCATCAGTGCGCCACTACCGTCATAATGACGGTGCTTCTGGTTGTTACTTTCACTTGGAAGACAAATCGTGTAGAGAAGGACAACCCAAATGGAATTAAATTGAGTTGCTTTCATGGTGGTTGAGATATATTGGATTAATAATTCAGACTTTTTAATTCAAAAAGGGTTGGCGGATGGTGATGAATGTGTTGTTGTTTCCTTTTCAATTATTAGTTGTATACTTGAAAGCAAAAATTAGAATTTTCAATTGAATTTTTTTTATGATTTGTTGCAATTGTTTGTCTCTTGAACTTCTATTACCACATAATTTTGTAATTTTTAATATTAACTACTTGGATATTGTAAATGTTGCAATTTACCACTTAGATCAAGTTTCGTTCACTTTTTCATTAAAATGTATCATGTGCCTCTCACGTAGAGTGATATTTAGTTCATCTGGCTTGTTGAAATTGATTTCCCTCCATACTCATACCTAGCCAATCATTCTGACGCCAAAATTGGAGCTTAGAGTGCCCCGATTTCCTTCCAAATTTTATTTTATACTAAACTCTAAATGATTCTATATGATGCTGTTATCATTAAGTTATTCATTCACATGAGGATTTTGTGATACGTAAATTATACCACTTTATAAAGTTCAAGTGATTAATAATAAAAACAAAACATTCAGATGGTAATCGGGCACAAGTCTAAAAATTCAGATATTATTTATTGCAAAATTTCCTAATAATTAAATAGTAATGAATAATGTTACAGTTCTTTTAATTTGTTTGTCGTTATTGCTTGTCTTGTTTGCGACTATTATGAGCAAAACAACAGCAGCAGACAGACTGCGACTTTGAAGTTGAATTGAACGAATGAAACAAGAAACACATCAGCACGGATGCAACAATTGACGTGTTGTCGGCCGTTTTCCTCCATGCTCGTCTATTGGTGTGGTGGGTCGCACAAAGAGATTCAACTGCTCATCATCAGTCGCACTATGCCTTTTCTGCGTTATGTAACTGACTTTCCATAACTGCCCAGTTTGCCCAACAACTACTAAATTGCCACTCACTTAATGCCATGTGATGTCCATGCAACTCTCTCTTATTTATTTATTTATTATATTTTGCAATTTTCGACTTTGGGTAGTTGAAAAATTGAATACTACATGTCAGTATTTGTCCGATCTTTAAACTCATACTTCTTTTGAATTTTCAGTCCTTCTACTCCGAATTATGACTTTCATTGAACTTAATTAAAAAGTCGGCCAATTTAGTACTTGAATTTATTGAAACAACCAATTTAATGACTAAAATATTTAGAAAATAAAAAAATGAAAAGAAAACAAAGGAACCCACCAAGTCCAGATGGAAAAAGACACAACAGCCACCAACCAACACCCCAGATCTGAATCTGGGGTTGTTTCTGTTGGGTATGGCACATATTTGAATCGGGTTCTGTGAAAGGGAAGTTGTGAGGTAAAGCCAATGAAGATTGCCAAGCTTTACATCATCAGTACGAAATCAGATTGCCTCAAATGGGTAGTTACCGAGGCCCGAGAAATAAACTGGGTAAGATTTTCGAGTGCGACAAGAAAGTTAGTTGGCTTAAAGATGACAAGTCATAAAGGTTATGGAAGAGGGTGGGCCCGAAATTGCGGGTGGAGGAGGAAGGGGTGTTGTAGGGGGTGGGATGGGGTTGTGCTATAGAGGATGGGGCTGGGTTTTTTGTTTAATTATAAATTTTATAAAAGTTTTTTTCTATTGATTTTATTTATTTAACTTTTATTTTATTCGAAAATACAAATACACCTTTAGTATTAATGGAGAATTGGATGAAATTATTTCAAATCTAACAACATGTGTGAAATTGATCATTTTAATTATTTCAGGTGCTAAATTGGCTGATTTTTTAGTTCATACATTATGTCCAATTGGGGTCCTAGTGGGGGTATTTCAATAATTAACTCATTTTTTTTTAATTAAAAAAAACTCATATTTCTTCACCAAAAGTAAAAATTGAATGTTAATAAATCAGACTTGAGATATTCTTTTTTTTGTTTTTGTTTTGTGCGTAGTTTACCAAAAGCGATAAGGAAGTTGCATAAACTAAAAGCTTAAAAATAATATACAAATTTATAAATAAACCCAATCCTAGACATGTATTTATAAAAAAACCCAAGCACTATTTAAACATAGAAACACACCCAAAATCAACCTCAAAATCAACAATTGTATATTTTTTGGGTGTGTTTATAAATGGGTTTTGAGTGTGTGTAATGATGGGTTTTGGGTGTGTTTATAAAGTGTTTTGGGTGTTGGGTTTTTTTATAATTTCAACCCCCATTTTGGGTGTTTTAGTGAAACTCCCAAAATAATAAGGCATTTAGCCCAAAAAATGAAAAAAAAAAAAAAAAAACGCAATTATCGTCATCTTCTCTAGTACACGGATACAAAGTGATTAAAATTGGTCTCAAAAAGTAAATAATTTGTAACTCAAGTAGTTAAAAATATTTACCCAACACTTGAGGTAATAAATTCGATTTTCCCTCCTCTCATTATCTCTTGTATGATAATTAAAAATGATCCCAAAAAAAAAAAGGATGCCCTTGCACAAAATAAAACATCATTTGCAAAAATATAAATTATGTAATTATGACTAGATTATTTTTCATCCAATTCAAATTTCATTTTTTATTACCAAACATAGAATTGGATTAAAATACTATTCATCATGCGTGGCAAACGAGGCCTATTGGAATAAAAGCAAAAGACACCCTTGTTTTGGTATTCCGTTAGCTTTCTTTCCTCTCTTTTTTTCCCAGAAAGGTGTTGCTTAGCTTTCAATCTGAATCGTGTATACTTATAGAGTTCTTTATTCAGTATTAAAGAAAAGAATGGTATTGGTGAAAGAAAAGAATCTCATCCCTAGCATCCCATGTGAAGCATGGACCAGAGGGCCACAAGAGATCCAATACAAATATGATATATAAAGTGCAAGATTGTTTGATAAATTATTAACACCTATATTACACAACTACCCAATACAATATATATATATATATATATATATATATATTTTATGGAGAAAAAATAATAATTGTACTAAAAAATTAGGCACAAAGATCATCAGTTATAAGGGTAAATACAACTACCCACTAATGGGTAATACAAATATTGAAGTATAGTATTTACACATGGTTAATCCACAGACATGCTACAAAAGACCAAAGAAATTTCGGCATAAAAGCCACATGCCTGAACAAATCAAACATGAATCACAACGCCTAAATCTACCAATACAACTCTAACTTTTAAATTCTCACAAGTACAAAATACAAGTAGAGACTAGAAAACAATCAAACACCCAACTCACAAAGAGTTTATGCAATTTTTACACAATAATAAAATTGCAAACAAACAATAACCAAAAATCAACAAAGCCACCACCATCGATGCTGCCTCAGCCATAACAGTTGTCGTCAAGGTGTTGGAGATAGAGAACACCGCCGAGATTACAACCCGTCACCCTACAACAAAAACAAACTAACAAAACCATGGATCCAAGCAGATCTGGGTAAAAAAAAAAACCAATATCCAAAACAAATCTAGACACAAATAACCTCCCA